CGCCGGGCGAGGGGGAGGCGCAGGGGCACGCCGGCGGTGTGGCTGAGCCGGGGGCGATGGCGATGGTGCCGGTGCCGGTGCGCGGGGGGTACATGGTGGTGCCCAAGCCGGAGCCGGTGGAGCTCTTCGGGGGCGCCGGGGCCGGGGGCGGGATGGTGGTGCGCAAGCCGCCGCCCAGGAACCGGGACCGGCACACCAAGGTGGAGGGCCGCGGCCGCCGGATCCGCATGCCGGCCGCCTGCGCCGCCAGGATCTTCCAGCTCACCCGCGAGCTAGGGCACAAGTCGGACGGCGAGACCGTGCGCTGGCTGCTGCAGCAGTCCGAGCCGGCCATCGTCGCCGCCACGGGCACCGGCACCGTGCCCGCCATCGCCACCACCGTCGACGGCGTGCTCCGGATCCCCACCCAGTCCTCCTCCTCCGCCTCCTCCGCCGTCGTCGACGACGAGGCCTCCGCCAAGCGCCGCCGCAAGCTGCAGCCCACGCGCGCCGCGGGGCCGCTCGCCACCGTGCCGCCCGCCGCCGCCTACTACTCCGTCCTCGCCGACCCCCTCCTGCAGGGCGGCGCCGGGGGCGCGGCCATTTCCGTCGCCAGCGGCCTCGCTCCCATCGGCGGCCAGCAGGGCCTCGTCCCCGTCTTCGCCGTGCCGTCCGCCGCTGGGGCCGGCGGCGGCAACCACATGATCCCGCAGGCCACCGCCGTGTGGATGGTCCCGCAGCCGGCCGGCGCCCCCAACCAGCCCACCCAGTACTGGGCCTTCCAGTCCGCGCCCCAGCTCATCAACCTCGCCGGCGCGCAGACCATGCCGGCTGGAGCTGTGTTCCCCAACGTCGCCGCCGACTACCATCAACAGCAGCAGTCTGCCTCTACCGTGGTCCAGAACACCAACTCGGACCACCAGCAGTTCAGCCACCATCTCACCGGCGCCGAGTCGCACGAGCAGCAGCGCCGTGACCACCACCCGGAGGAGGACGACGCCGATGACGACGACGAGCCAGTCTCCGACTCCAGCCCAGAAGACTAACGAAGCAGAGCAAAGCCACGAAAGCACTCCACTGCACGCACCTCAGCCAAAAGTCAATCCAAAGAAGAAACCTTAGGTTCTATTCTAGTGAAATATTTATTCTCCGATTATGTATTAGTCAGTAATGATACCACTGTTGCCCCTAATGAGTGTTTTTTTGGTACCATGACTATTGTTGGTTGTCCCTAATTATTCTTGACCTTCAATCAATAAGAACACGAAACATGGAGAAAAACTTGAGCTTTGCCGATGATTTCCATCAGGGTTGTAAAACCCTGTTCAAAGTTCAAACTTTTGGTTGGTTCCCTAACTAGAATGAAGCACTATACTGAACTACAGGCAAGAGGAGTATCAGCTTGAAAATGGTGCTACATTCTGTTAACTCTTCCTTTTCAGGATAATATATCTGAAGGAAATTGATCTTCATAATACTGCAATTCTTTTTTTTTACAGCTTCCTTTTGATTTTTATATCGCTAGTTGCTGCTTGGATTGCTGGAATTTCAGAACAAGTTCTGAAGTAACTTCCTGTCATTTCTGCTTCTGTAAATAGTGGCTTTTCCACTATTTTCACAGCCACGCCAGAACTCTTTAAGTCTTCATGCTTTCGTCTTAGAACAAAGTCAGTTTTCTGCTACTAGGTTTTTTTGGGCACACTTGCTGTTGCAGAGCAAATAACCAGAAATTTACTGCACAATCAGGAATTTACAGTGCCATGACCAAATATTTCCTACTTTTTTTAGTCTCATCTTGTTGCTACAGTCCTACAATCTGCAAATGAGTATAACTTTGCTTATAGTTCAAGGTTTCTCTAGACTCTGTAACCCAAGACAGTGGGGATGAGTTTTCTTCTAGAGTCCTGTTGCTGGACCTGCACATAAAAGAGCTCACTTGCTTGTCTTTGAATTCATTTTCTCATTTGCAGATGATTAGTTTGCACTTTTTTATTTGTTAATGGTCTCATCATAATCGTTTTTTTTTTCTGAGCTGACCGAGTACATCCTGAACCTTGTACCGCAAATAAACGGTGAAACTAAACACCATTATCTACTGCTTGTTGTAACTTGTACTTGCAAAGTGAAATATGCAAGAAAATTCATGGCATTTTAGAAGACACATGGTAAAAAAATGCAGAGTTTAATTTTAGGATATGTTAAAAAGACGTCGCAGGATTTGCTAAAGCACTGGCTATCCATTTTGATGATTGTCACATCTTCAAAATCCACTATAAATATTACACACTTGAAGAAGGCTTACTGTGTCTACTGGGAAGGAGGACCTGGTCTCAGGGTAATGCTGCATACAGTTGGTCTAGGTGATTAAAAGTTACCGTTTTGAAGAGGGCAGTTCAATATCCTGGTACAGATGCAGCAGTTCTTTCTTAGCTTGTAACTTTGGGATTAGCAATAATACTTGCGTGAATCACAATGCTATAAATTTTCCTGAATTTTCTGAATCTTCTGCAGTGTTACATAATTACATAATCAGGACAAGCTAATGCTAATCCACATAATATGATAATGGCTATTTTTTTTTCTAACATGCATCTGCCTTCGGGTTGCTTTAGTACTGGTCTTTTGGGAGTAAATTTGGTACCTCCAGATCTTGAGATCTAATTTCTTCTAGAACTCATTTTACAGATGTGTGTAAGTACTCAAGATCAATCTTTCCAAACTTAAAAAATGTACTTTTATCAGCAGCATCTTACAACTGTAAGTGTATATTTTGTTTATATTTGCTATGCTGTTATTTTTACTTGGATTTTTATTTCCTTTCATGTAACTAGAATTTTTTGGTCTTAACATGTTGAACTATGCTGGAATCTTGCAGGTCTTCAGTAAACACAATGTTGGGTCCAAAGGCCGTCCACAAAATCGTTGCGCATGACTGAGAGCAGGTTGAAGTTTTCCAGAATATGTTTCTGCAATTATTCCTGAAGAGGTCAGTATTTCACCTCAGTATGTCGCTCTGTGCGCTATTATGATGCTTACCTCACTGTGATGATGCACTTTTGCAAAATGGTCAGCTATGACAGAATTGTTCAAGGATAAGGCCATCACGGTTGACTTTGGCTTAAAAAATGGGCCTTTAATAGTGCTTTAGTTGTCGATGCAAAACAAAAGCAAGCAACTAACCGGTTCTGAACATCAAGACTTCAGACTTAGCTTGTCATCGACGTCAATAATTTTGTACAATCTAATTGAGCTCTCTTTTTTTAAGAAAAAATGAAGTCCTTTTATAAACACTGTTCACCTATAATGTTAATATATGCAAAGAGTCCTCCACTATACATACCGTGCCTCTCTTCCTCGTTTGAAATATTGATTACTGAATAATAACACAGGTTAGAAAGATTGACAGAGGCCCTATCTCATACGTTGAGTCTCTTGTCAAGTTTATCATTGGTGAATTGCAAGGTTTGATAAACATTCTTGATTCAGGTGGATTTGGCTCATTGGAGATACAGATAGAGAATTTCTGAGCCTGTATAGATGCTCGGTTCCAAACTCAAAGCAGCTCTACGGTTGAACAACGCAACAAGAGTCGAAGCTGTTCCAGGCTTGTTAGCACCTGGGATGGGAACGAGAGCTATCCTGATAACAGCCCTTCTGTTAACGTGTTGGTCAATTTGCCACTTCCCATATCACAATTTAAATACTATTGAATTTGTTCTCGAAGTTGTGTTCCCTTTGGTCTTAATGTCTGCCTTTGTTTCCAGAATAAAGTTATCGCTTTTGTTATTTATATAAACCTGATGGCAGGTACGAATGTGTCCTTGTTTGACTTCCTTCTTTTTATACATTCAATTCAACAAATAATAGTCGAGTGCTTTATTATCAATTCTCAACAAATAAACCATTCAGAAGTTTTAAAAAGAAAATCTTGGGATACATGCAAGTCAAAATATGATTTCAAGATTTATGCGCCACTTCAAAATACTACTCCATATTTGTTCTTTCTTCAAAGAAAAAAAAGCTGCTTGTTCAGCTGTCAACCTCATGCGTTTTGTTCAGTGCGGTGCGGGAAGGTGCATGTCATTGAATTGACAACCAAATTAACCAAGCCAACGAAGGTGCTGCTGCAGGCCATTGTGTTCAGACAAAGATGTAGCCTATAGTTCAGACAAGGAAGACTTAGTCACTGGGCATCTTCGCCGGTAAGACCGAATCAATCCGATAATAATGAATCTTATAATGTTGTTTGAAAGAAATCTGAGAAGAAGTCGAAGCTACGGAGTAGTCGTTTGGATGAGATGGCATGGACTGAGAAGACAGGTGGCTCATATATGGAGTTCAAGTATGAGGCTTATGAACAGTATGTTATTGATCCCAGGAGTATCTTGTGTGACGCCCGGATAATCATTCTACAGTAACCCCACGCTAATCATGCCATGTCACCTCGGTTACCATTGCTAACCTCTTAATGATTCAAAACCGTTTTGAAATTTAAATTCTAAATATGTCAAACAACAAACGTTTTCAAAAGTTGAAACAAAATTGTTCGGTGGGTGCCGAATATTACAAGGGTAATTATATTAAAGAAAACATATTTTTAGAAAGTGTTTGAATATTTTAAAATGAATTAAAACAGAGAAGAGAGATAATAAAAGAAAATAAATAAAAGGAAAACAGAAAACTAAAACAAGATAAAAAAAAAGAAAAGGAGAGAAGGCCAC